TAAGAAGGCGAGGAAAATCCTCGTCGCTGGAACTCACGCCGACAACTTGGGTTATCAATGCGGAGGTTGGACCATCGAGTGGCAAGGACTCGGCGGGAACAACCTCACAATTGGTAAGTGTCTCTCTCGACCACTGTAGATTTTTTCTCGTGTTCATCGTCAAAAGACGCGGGATAAGATTTAGTCCCGCATCAGATGAATGTATGATTAAATATGCTTGGACTCATGACTCAAATAGATAGAGTGCGTGGGTTCTTTTGAATCAATTTGAGTCCAGATGATACATTGTCCTGCAACTCTTTTTATTTATTCTCCGTCTTTTCACACACAGGAACCACCATCCTCGACGCGGTCAAATCCACCGTCGCCCCGACCACCGAAGTAGTCCACTCTGAGAACCCCGACGCCAACTTCCTCGAGAACAGCGAATTCGACTATGCCATCGTCGCGGTCGGGGAACTCCCCTACGCCGAGACGTTCGGCGACAGCGCGACGCTCACGATGGTCGACCCAGGACCGGGGAACTCCCCTACGCCGAGACGTTCGGCGACAGCGCGACGCTCACGATGGTCGACCCAGGACCGAACGTAATCAAGACCGTGTGCGCAAACATAAAGTGCGTCGTGGTTGTCATCTCCGGCCGCCCCATCGTGATCGAACCGTACGTGGACTCCATCGACGCGCTTGTCGCCGCCTGGCTTCCGGGGACCGAAGGACGGGGGATCGCCGACGCGATATTCGGCGACTATGGATTTTCCGGCAAGCTTGCAAGGACTTGGTTCAGGTCTGTTGATCAGTTGCCAATGAACGCCGGTGATCTGCATTATGATCCTCTTTATCCGTTCGGGTTCGGACTTACAACAGAACCTAAGAAAATGTAGAGCGTTTGAGATTTGAGTTTAAAATTTGATGTTTGAGGGGTTGCACCATGAATAAAACCAGATTTTGTTCTCGGCAAGTTATTTGGTTCGTTTACTGCTTGTATTGTGTTGTGTTGTTTTTATTAAATTTTTTTAATTAGTTGCAGTTCAGTTTGCATTGTTCTAACTTCAACACCATTATGACCACCTCTTTTCTAACTTCAACACCATTATGACCACCTCTTTTCAAATATATACAAGTATTAAAAATATAAAAGTCATCATCTAAAAAGTTTGTGCATAAATGAAACAAATATGATGCTCATCTTTGATGGAAATGTTGCCAAAAATCTAATAAATATACTCAGATTAAGAAATGATTATACGCTGGGGATACAAGTTATATCCTTTCTCAAAATAAATGTTAGATGAAACTGAAATTATAAACGGAATCAAAACGTAACACTACAAAATATGAGGTACATTTTGGCAATAGGCAAATAAAGGTAAGGAGAGTCACAACTGCCAAAGATAACGCAGAGATAAAATATATTAATCAGTCTCAATTTGTCAAACGTTTAAAAAAATTACATAAAATAAAATAAAATAAAATAAACTTTTTGGGTGGCTTAAGAAGTGTTAGATGAAAATTTTGTTAATTCACCCTTTCAAACAATAAGAAATTGCCACTTTATTTGAAAAACAGTGCTGATAATATTTTCCCTGTCTTGCACTGAAGAAGAATTGAAAGATTAAGATCTTACTACTGAATTAAGAATACTTCTTTATTCAGAAATTGTTAGCAAGCTTTTTCACTTTCCATTAATTGCTCATCCTCAAATTAGGTTCTGAAGACTTAACTTACATCCTTAATGCTCAATAACACAAAGTAAAGATTCCATCAAAAACACCATATGGAAAGATGTGATCTATACCATTCACGGATGGTTAGAGGGTTATTGTGAGAATTACAATTCACCCCACTTCTATTAATGGCGATTCCGACAGTATCATTACTGAATAATGCAAGTATCACATGCTAGACGTGCCCTACAACGGGTAGATAAAAACTAACTGGGAAAATTTTGTATAAGAACCATAAACATGAGACCTGAACTGCATTACTTTTTTGCAAATTTAAATTGGACCCAATGTTTAAAAAAATTGAT